AGTGATGAGTCTCAAACAGGAGATTAGAGGACTCAAGCATGAGAATAAACAGTTGCATAGGCTTGCACACAACTATGCTACAAGCATGAAGAGGAAGATTGACCAGATGCAGGAATCTGATGGTCAGATTTTACTTGATCATCAGAGGTTTGTGGGTTTGTTCCAACAGCATTTGCCTTCGTCTTCTGGGCTGTACCGCGTAGTGAAGCTCCAAATGATCAACCTCCGATACCTCCTCCTTTTGTGGCTTTGCCGACTGCTGAGGCTTTGCCGACTACTGAGACTTCTCCTAAGCAGCCTTTGTGAAGGCTATCTCTTGTATTTTTCTGCCTCTTGTTCATTTTCACGAATTTTAATGTAAAAGTACCTTGCATATCTGTCAATGTTTAAAAAATAAACACACACCAAAAACAATTAAACAAGCAACAAATAAAAATGACAATCATGGCAAAATAAAAATGCAGAAAAGGGAAGTTTTTAGAAACGCAAAACTGATTGTGGAGCGATTCAAAGATCTTCATTTTTTTTAATACATGGGTTGCCTCCCAAGAAGCGCTTGCTTTAACGTCTTCTAGCCGGACGAAACTTCCATTTAAGCTTGAATAGGGCCCACGGCATGGAGTGATATGTCCTCTACGGCATGCTCCTCAAAATACTCATACATTGGCTCTATGAATGGAAGGGGATAGTAATCCTTCCTGATTGGGGCGTTGAGCATCCTTAAGTCAATGTAATCATTCCCACTAGCTTGGATTTGATTGGGGACCTGCACCATACAAGGTAACAACCTATTAGTTGAAATGGGAATCGAAATTGGAATAGGTGGTTTACCAATGTGTTGCAATGAAGTGACAACACTGTAAACAGATTTTCCAAATGTGCTTTCGCCTAGATTATGCATTTGGAGGTTAGTGGTGTGTTCTTTGTGCTCCACTCCAATTTCCTCTTCGTTAGTGGTTGGAAATTCATCCTTCTTGGTTGGTGTTGAAGGTTCTTGTCCTATGTTTTCAACTACATCAATGGAAAAACAAGAACGAACATCAGTAAGATTCACATTAGATTCAGGAATTTTAAAGTGAATCATATCACCACCAAATGCCATTGTTAATGCTCCATTGGCCATATCAATCTTAGTTTGAGCTGTTTTCATGAAAGGTCGTCCAAGTAAGATTGATGGTGGTAGAGAGTGGGCTGCATCCTCCATGTCAAGCATATAGAAATCTGCAGGAAAAATCAAATGGTCTACCTGCACCAAAACATCCTCCAAAACTCCTTTCGGGTAGGCATTAGATCGATTGGCTAGTTGAATAACAACACCATCATGTTTAAGCTCTCTTAAATTCATAGATGCATAAATAGAATATGGCATGACATTAATTGATGCACTTAGATCTAGCATAGCATGTTCAAACCTCGTATTTCCAATAACACAAGGGATAGTGAAACTACCTGGATCTTTGCATTTGGGTGGCAGCTTCCTTTGCAACATTGCAGAGACATTCTCATTCACATGTACCACCTCTTTCTCCCGAATCCGATTCCTTGTTGTGCAAAGCTTCTTTAAAAACTTAGCGTACTTCAGGATTTGTTTGATGGCATCTAAGAGTGGAATATTGACTTGTACTTTTCTGAATGTTTCAAGGATGTCTTTTTCACTTTCTTCATTCTGTGTTTGTATGAATCTACGAGGGAAAGGTGTATTTGGTGGAATAACGTTAGAATTAACCAAATTGGAACCTTTCTTACCTGTGGTGGACACATTGGATGGATTAGGAAGTGTAAGAGTGCATGGCAAGGTTGTTTCCTTCCTTACAGTGGGTGTGTGTTGGACATCCTCCTCTTGTTACAGCTTCTTGTCATCCGTTTTGGCAGATTTTAATGGTTGGGGGTCCGTTCCAACTTCTTTTCCACTTCTCAAGGTAATGGCCTTTACAGATTCAAATCCTCCCCTTGGATTCACAACGGTTGTGCTAGGCAGTTTGCCTTGCTCTTTGATTTGCCCCATGAACTCCGCCATTTGGCCCATTTTTTTCTTCAATTCATCCACCTCCTTAGCTTGATTGAGCATTGTTTTATTTTGATTTTGCTGCCCCTGCACTAAAGAAGTTAGTAATTGAACAATTTGATCATTATCCATGGATGTAGCTGAATTGGTTTGGGTAGATTGTGGTTGAACTTGAGTGGGTACATATGGCCTTTGATACATCCCAGGGGGTTGTGGCCAAAATCCTCCTTGTTGGGCAGATTGTTGTGGTTCTCTCTACTTGAAATTTGGATAATCTCTCCACCCTGGATTGTAAATGTTGGAGTAGGGGTCATTATGTTGCTGATTGTGGCCTTGAAAATCTACGGCATTGGCAGATTCCCACCCTCAATTGAGGGCACTTATCCGTGAGATGTCCTTGCATTGAGCACACGCCACAAGCAGCTACACTTTGTACCTTTGATATTTCAACCACCTGCGAAAAAAGAGTAGTAAGATTAGCCATTTGATTTTGAAGTTCGGAAATAGCACTTACCTCATTAACATGTTGCTGGCGTGGGATGTCCCCTTGACCAACGCCTTCATATTATTGAGCATTCAACGCACAGTTAGCAATTAAGGTCCTGGCAGCCATAGGTGTTTTGTCCACCAAAGCTCCTCCCGCTGAGGCATCTAGCATCTGACGTTCTATTGGTAAAAGCCCTTTGTAGAATTATTGAAGAAGAAGTTCCTCCTTCATTTGATGTTGTGGACATGAAGTAATAAGGGTTTTAAAACGTTCATAGTAAGTGGGAAATGATTCACCTTGGTTTTGCTGAATGCCACTAATCCTTTTACGTAGTAGAATGACTCGAGACGTTGGGAAAAACTTCTCCAAAAATGCCCGTTTTATACTCTCCCATGATGTGATATTTTCGGGGGCTAGTTCATACAACCAATCTTTAGCCTTTTCCAAGAGAGAAAAGGGAAAAGCCTTCATTTTCAAAATGCTCCCATCAACATTCACAGGGGCCATGCTCGAACAAACAACCTCGAACTCCTTCAAATGTTTATTAGGATCTTCCATAGACAACCCATGGAACTTAGGAATATGGTGCTATAAACTGAACTTTAATTCGAAGTCATCGGTCTTTCCTTGGGCAGCCACAAGGTATTGAATGCAAAGTGGTGCAGCATTGTCCAATCCCGAAGCAGAAAGCTCCTTGATTGTTCGATTGTCCGCTGCCATGTCTTGTACTTCTTCAAAAATCTGAGCCGGTTGAAGTGGTTGGGGTTCTTGTTGATTCCTTGCTGGTCTCAAAGTTCGTTCAAAATCGTCGTCAAAGTCAAGGATGTGCTTATGAACAGGTTGAGAACTTCGAGTCATAAACCACCTAAAACAAGAAAACAAATAAAGTCATCAACTAGGAACAAAAACACATGAAAATAAATAAAAAGAAATAACAAGGGATTAGCAAAGTTGCTAATCCCCAACAACGGCGCCAAAAACTTGATGCGAAAATTAACTTAACACACAAATTTAACCCTCTTTTGACAATTGTTGTATAAGTATAAGTAGGGATCGTTCTGGACCGGGGATTAGAAGGGCTTGCTAATAACCTCTAACTGACTCAAAAACATAAAACTAAACTTTAAAATACTTAACAAGACTCACCAGACTCAAAGAAAACTTAAAATACTCAAAATAACTTAAAACAACTAAATAAACTTAAACTAGACACTAGGAATGACTTTGGACGAAAATTGACTTTTACTTGATTCAAAACATTTAAAAACACAAATTAAAACAGATTCTAGCTAATTAGACACTCTAAAGTAAAGGGAGATTGAGTTTTGGATGAAGTTGAAACAAACAAACAAGTATGAAAAACTAGACAGATTGTAAAACAAATTTGAGAAATAAGATGATGGATTGGATAGCTAGAGGTTTTTTCTCCACACATGACATGTATGCAAATAACTTAATTTCCAGTTACTACTTCATTGAATTACGAATGACAATGCTCCAAATTAACCGTGACATCACTAATTAACTCTCAGATTTTCCTTGTTTTATTGGATTAGATGACATCATTCGACAACCCAAAACATTCTTCAAAAGTTCCCTAAATGACATCATAATAGAGATACAATCAAAGATCATTACGTTTAATGAAAATCATAAGTATTGACAAAGCACTTGCAACTATGACATCATGTCACTCATGCTAGGAATTGAACTTAACACGATCGTTTATAAGCGACATTCACTACATGTGAATATAAGTTTGTAACGATTATGTGAAACTTCCTTATATTCTAGCAACGGATTTATGCATGCCAATTAAGTGTCGACCCTTAATTAACAAATACAAATAAGTTATCAATCAAATAATTAAGCTAATTGCATTCACGATTCAAGAGTTCATAACTGGAATTTATCAATTATATTGCACACATAATCATGGCTTTGAAATCATCCCTAGCCAAGAGGGGTTTAGCCACTCATATTTACAACAAAACGAAAGGAAATGAATTTAAACATTAGAAACAAAAGAAAGAAAACACTTAAACGCTCCAACGATCCAAGTTGAACAGCAAGCACATCCAAGCACTTTCCTTCCCTTCCTTTGCTACGGCACAAGGTGTTGGTAAGTGTTTGAAGGTTTGTTTGTATGGAGGAATGGATGTGAAGATGAATGGATGTGTTTGAATGAAGGTTGTGTTGAAATGAGAATGAATGATCTAACTAAGTATGAACTAAATTTATGTTACACACTTCCTTTTATAGAGGAAGTGCATGGCAATGGAGGGGAACATGGAGTTGTGTAGCAATTGAGTGCAATGATGCAATGTAATAATGCATGAAATTTGAAATGATGGAGGGAACAAAGAATAGTGTAGCAATTGAGTGCAATGATTCAATGTAATAATGCATGAAATCTGAAATGATGGAGGGGACAAGGGTGATTATGCATGGCATGGGTGGAAATGTGAGTAAGTGGTGAATCAATGAGTGCAAGGACGTGAAAAGATATTGTGCACATGGTAGACAAAGGAAAGGAAGTGAAATGATGCAACAAATGAGTCAATGGATGGAACATGGATGATGATGGACGACATAGGAATCCAAAGGGAGTGCAATGGTGGTGCACGACAATGATGACAAGGTGAATGATGGAGTGACACCTCTTTGTGGCTGAGCTCTTTGTCCTTTTCACATTAATTCTTATTTCTCTTTAACACATTCCTAGCCTCTTTAGTCTTCAATTTCGTCCATCCACCTTGCTCCATGCATGTGCTATTCATTCCAAGCCCAAAACTACTCCAAAACGCACCAAAATGCATCTTAGTGCTTTATAAAGCCTATGGACCTACAAACACACGAAAATAGTTAAAATGCATAATTAACTAAGAAATAACAACATAAATACATGAGAACAAGCTAACTCAGTTGCATAAATATGCTCTTATCAGATGCTGTGTTGTAGTATAATTATGGATTTACAGTTGATATACTCTTGATTTCACATTGATACGTGGTATGATTTTCTGGAAACTATACATGTATTGTAACAAGGGGTTATAATGTTTTATATGGTTTCTATTAAAATATTATCTCCAGGGTCACTCACCCTTGTTTTGTTTTCACCCTCCAGGTTTTATTAGATGTGCTTTCTTATCGTCGAAGATTTGTGGCGATTCTTAGTATTGGAGATTCTTTCGAGGGTACAATTCTTAATCCTCTACTGTACTTACTTATGCTCTAACGTCACGTGTGAAGTGGGTTCTTTCCCGCTCACCAGCGCACTCTGGTATTTAGGCACTCTTATGTTTAAATTTATTCACATTTTTCCACAACATCACACTTTATGGCTTCGTCACCTTCCAGGTGTCGGCCAACGCAGCTCGATTCGGAGTCCTAGCAGACATTCCGGGTCAGGGTGTGTCACAGGGTCACTAAACCCAAATTACAAATTATGCAGTCAATCTCTCTACCTTTTTTTTTCTTCTAATTGCATCAAAACATATTTTGAAGTTCATTCAATCAAGAAATTCAAACATATCATAAAGATTAATTTAGTCCTTAATTAGCATCAACAACATGATATTAAGATACATCAGACACCCCGATAATTCATTAAATACACAACTTAAGCATAAACAATCAAATCTCACAAACTACCCAAAAGGCATTAAGTAATGATCAAACATGCATTAAGATCGACAACGAAGTAGCCAAAATGAAAACAATTATGAGATTTTTAAGCGGAAGTACCTCATTGAAAGCCTTCTGGAAACACTGCGACACCTTTTGGAACCTTTGCCTGATTATAAGTATGAAATATAACCATTAGAATAAGGGATTAAATGTGTTGTAAGCATTGAGATATGTGAAAACTATTTACATAAAACATATAGTAGTTGTTGACAACTCTATATACACACAAAGATTTGTTCAAAATACAGCATGTACTCAAAAAATTGTAGCACTTCGACTACTGAGCAAATAGCCACCCAATCAAATTGTTAGTTTTTACATGCAATAAATTCAAAATTCACATAATCAGCAAGGATAACAGATAAATTATCATTTTTCATTTCAATTAAAAAACCATATCTATTAAAAACCTAGAACTTCAACTACAAATAAAATAACCCATATGCCAAACAATCATTTGTTTCAAAGAAAAAAAAAAATCTAAAACTTAAATAGTTAAACGATATACACAAAACCATGAAACATTACCCAAAAGGAAAAAGAACTTACATAAGTCATTTCTTACATCTCGAGTAGGCATCCCACTTGTTGCCAGTTCCATCCTAATATTGAACAAAAATTTAAACTTTTCACAATCTGGGGTCTTAAATAACTCCTATTATCCAAAACTTTCTAGGCAACCAAACAATGGAAATAACTAAAGTAGAGAAACCCAGAAAGGGGAAAGGCAAAGCGAGGGAAGAATGTACCATTTGGAGAAGTTGAGTCCCTAGGTGAGTGCTTTGGTGGAAGGCGGTATCCCTCGGTACATCCGTGATAAAATAATTAAAGCTGACACTAATGGCTGCTGTGTCTTTGGCTCCATAGACCAGCTCTATTAGACATTAACGTACCAATTATTTGTTGTAGCTTAAAGTGCAAGTAAAATGGAAGAAAAATGAGAAAAAACGTCAAATTCCAACAGAAAGAGAAATACTGCTAAACTAAAAGCTTGTTAATGACATATCAGCAGTAAAAAGTTTATGCAAGAACCATACCACACTAGTGTGGATTCACCAACAGAAATATCCTGAAATCCACATCCAAGAACTTCATCAATCGTGCCGTTACGAATGTTAAGAATCCTTCCGTTGTACAGAAGGCTACATGGAAAAATAAATCAACCTTAGAATCATATATGACGAAAATGAATGAATGTTTCAAATGCAGTTTGTTAATACTTTTTCACATCCAATTCTTGTGATCGGATTTTCATGTTCCATTAAGTATAGTAAATAATTATTCTATCTTGGATTCACAGATAATCATCAGATTGCAAAGTACATTACCTTCTTGGTAGGCTCAGGAATTTCCCAAGTCTTATGACATCTTTTGTAGCAAATCTGCTGCTTCTAAAGAACTCAAACAGTGAAGGAAATGCAATCAACAAATACAAACAAAATCTAGGTCTTGGAGCAGTGAACATAGTTTGAATTTTACCATTTTACACGGAGGTAAAAGTCAAGAGTCAATCATTCAAAGGAAATACACAATTTTGTAAAAGATAGATTGAAGAGGAAATTAGCCTTGTTTTAACTGCAGAAATTTTACTTTGCAGTCAATTAAATCATTATTTCACTTCTTCTTTTGTTAGTTGGTTTCAAACTCTTATAACCCATGTCATTTTTTACCATGACCAATATGTGATATTTGTTGGTGGAGAAAGAGGAAGCTAAATAGAAAAGAACAATTTCGTCATGATGACAAATGCAAATTTCAATATATTTAAACACAATCCAACTCATGATGCTTAGCTTAAAAGGACTTGAATTTGAGTTGGACATTTGAGGTATAAAGACCCTGGGTTTGTTAGGATTTTTCGATTTCCAAGAGTTTTATATAAGGTAGGCACACATCTTAGTCTAAGTGAAAAATGATGTTTGAGGATTACATCTAGCATATTTCAATTAATGATTCAGCAGCCTCTGAATGACAATGGTACTCACATTATTTTTCACTCTGATTAAAATGTGTGACAAAGGTATTCACATATTAGTACAATAGCCTAAATCAACATCGCATTATTGAATCACATTATTAAATTGGAGCGACAAAGGTACTCACATTACTAAATCAGTTCAAACTGTATCCAATTCCCGGGCGCGTATAATCTATATCTAGAAAGAAACATTCAGCAAAAAGTAATCCTTACTAATGCATTTATTGGAAACTCATTGCACTTTACAATTCCACTATTTTACTCATATCTAACTTCAAATTTTCTTATAAAATGCTTATCAAGATTTGTCCAAAAAAAATCAACAAACACACACAAATCACTATTTTTGTTGTCTAATTCATAATTCTGAAGGAAAAAAATCAAACAAATATTAGTACAAATAATTAGGATCAAAACAACATACCGTATTTCGGCTTGTTGTCTCATCAAAGTCAACTAATTCATAATAACGACACCAACTGGAATTGGCCAGAAAAATCTCGGATCTTTGTAACTCCACCAATTACTGAACAGTAAAGAAAAATTTCAATAAATAAATATTTAATTCAGAACAAAGTGTGCTATTCACACACCCCTTTTTACTTCTCACACACCTTTTGTTAATTTTTACTATTTGATCTTCTTTAATTCAGTCGATCTGACGGCTACAAATTAAGAAGTGTGTATGAAGTAAAAAATGGTGTGTAGATAACACATCCCAAATTTTATTACTTTGAAGCACACATGAAAAGTGACACACAAACCCAAATCCTAAATTCCTAAAAACACAACACTTAAACAACAGTAAAAATTAAAGCCTAATTTATTTATTTTAATTAAAAAAAAGAAAGAGGGTAATGATTTTTATTCACAAACCCCTCTAACCCAATGAAGGGCACTCCTATCATGTCCTTCGGTGAACATACATCTTTTGGGTTCTTCCTTTACCTGCATAAAAAGTCAAAAAATTAAAACACCACAAACCAAGAAATTTAAAAAATCAACTTTTTTCATACAATTATATCAGCTCAGACCTCAAATATTTATTTCTTCCACTTCCTAAATATTTCAGAATCTTTGGGTCAGTGCCGTGTGCCTGACCCCTTCAGCTTGGAGATTCATTTATGTTCTTTCATATTCGAACATACGGACAACGAAAAGTAGAATTGGAGAGAATAGTATAGCTACATAATAAATACTTGAGATTTTCCAGTGGAAGTGTTCATGTAAACTTTTACGAAAGGGGAACAATGGCTCCTCCAGCTCTGAAATAGCATCTGGGCAAACAAACACAAATCCACGTTTATAAATTCAAACTCCCAAATCCGAAAAACCACGATCTCTTAGAGCTGAAAACAAAACCGAATAAAACACCATGACCTGGAATCCGAAACTACAAAAAAAATCTCCAAAAACATAATAACAAAATTTGAACCAAAAACCCATTTATAAATCCAAATTTACACTCCTAAACACATAATATTCAAAGCAGGGAATTACCCGCACCAGATTGGCAGTAGGAAACGCCATCTTTTATGGGCTTCAACTTTCCTTCAAATCGAGACCAATTTCACTATTTTCCAGCGAGAGAGCAATCTGGTTTGTCAAGTGAGGCGGCGGAAACTGAGAGAGAGAGGGCGAGTTCGAGAACAACAGAAGAGAGATATGTGAGAGAGCAGCAGAAAACAAGACAAAAATCAAGAGGATACAGTCGAAACAGAGGGTTGATCGATGATCGTTTCTATGGTTTGACGGGTGCGAAGCCAGCATGAATCGGTGAGGCAACATAAACTGAGAGTGAGAAAGACCAAGTTGAGAACAACAGAAGAGAGATCTGTCAGGCCTTGATTAGCACCACGTATTGTACTGACATTTTCTGTCGGATGGGCTGACTAAATTAATCAGATGTTTAGTGTAGTATTAAACTAATAATCGTATTATTTATACTATATTTGATACTGAATCAGGAATTCAAAGTAACTTTGATATTTCACTTCATATTTGTCCCCTATTTAAATCAGATTAAAATTAATAAATTCACAACCATCAAATGAATCTAATTGAAAAAATAACAAAATTTTGTTTGGCATTTTTAGCTTTTGATATTTCACTTCATATTTGTCTCCTGTTTAAATTAGATTACTAAAAATAAATTAAAAAAAAATTGAAATCTATCTCTTCCCAGAATACCAGATTCCTCTGTCTCACCACCCTCACAAACACCCTCATTTCCTTACCTGTTCTTGGCCCAAAGAGGCTTGAAAACACCGTCAAGCAGATGGAATCTTAAAACCTAGAAATTAAAGAAATTAAAAACCCATATCAAATCTTAAAACCAGAAGAAATCTTCCTGAATAGTAAAACCCAGATGAAATCTTTTCGAATTTTCAAATCCTATTATCGATTCCCAATCAAGGTTCTAAAACCCAGATGAAATCGTTTCGAATTTTTGTGGTGGTGGTGTGAGTTGTCTCTCTGTGGGTGTTATCAGATAACAAAGGGGAAGAGATGGAGAGAACAAAGCTTGCCATAGGAGATGGAGAGAACAAAGCTTGCCAGAAGAGACTGGGAGAACACAGCCGGCGAGAGAAGGAGACGGAACAAACGGCAAGGAAGGGGAGAGAGAGTGCCCAATTTGCGCGTGAGATAAGAAAGGGAGTCGACTAATTAATACGCCCATTTTGGACTGGCTTACTAAGAGGGTATACGCTGTATAAAATAAGTGGATCGGATTCAAGGTCTTAAATATCGATATTATCGGCGATATTTCACCGATAATATCGTTTTTTGAGAGGGGGATATTTTCACACGTATCCACCTTATTTTCGTCAATATATCGGGATAATATCGGTAATATCGGGATAATATTTGGATAATATCGATAAAATAAACATAATAATTCAATGTGTGTGTCAGTGTGTGTGTGTGGTGGTGTGTGTGTGTGTTATGATAAGTTATATAATATAATATATATATATATATATATAATATAAATCCCTCAAACGGGCCAACTTTTGACAACTTTTGACAAGACAAAAAGTAGTGGTGGTTGGTTTCATACTCAAAACCATGGTTTTAAATATCGATAATATCGGCGAAATATCGCCGATATTATCGTTTTTCAGAGGCTTCGATATTTTTTCACATATCCGTCTCATTATCGTCAAAATATCGCGATATTATCGAAAAAGTCGTCGTGGATCCGTCGTCGGAAAGGTAGCCGAGGCTGCGTCGTCCCCCTAGCTGCCCAGATCTCTCTGCAATCCATGCTCAAACCTAAGATCTGCGCCTCAACGACGCCGATTCCCCCGCCGTTGTCGAAGTCGCGGCGAAAGATCCACAACTCCAGAACGGATCGAGCTCGCAGTTGTAGATCCACAACTCGTGGTCTGTCCCCACGGCGAAGCAGGCGTGGTCTTGGGTTGAAGCAGACGGGGAACAGAGACGGAGGCGAGCGCGGCTCCGGCGGGGCAGGCTCCGGGGGGAGGAGGAGAATGGGTGGTTGTTGTGGAGGTTGAGGTTGGGGTTTGGGGGCGATTGGGGGTCGTCGTTGGAGTCAACGACAGAGGTGGGGTTGTTATCGGTGGGATCGGTGAGCAAGGCGGAGAAGGATCAAGAGAACTCAGAGTTCCTGGGTTCGCCGACGAGGCGGAATACGCGGACCAGGAGGAAGGCGAGGGAGGAGGAGAATGCCATGTGGAAGAAGGATCGAGAAAGGTCTCTGTGTGTGTGTGTATGGGAGAAGGGAGAAGAGAGAAGGATCGAGAATTCGAGAGATATGTCGATCTGTGTGTGTGTTTGTGGGAGAAGGGAGAGGGAGAGGGAGAAGAGAGAAGGTTCCAGATATAAGTCATGTGTGCGTGTGTGGTGTGCGTGTGTGGTGGCGTGTGTGATCCTGTGTGTGCGTGTGTGTGTCGGTGGCGTGTGTGTGTAGGTGGTGTGTGACGTTGTGAGAAAAGAAAAGCATGGTAAATAATTCAACTTTTACATCTTTTAGGAATGGTACAATGTATAAAGTGTAAAATATTGTACTAATTTAATATATATAAATGATTATGGTGTGTTTAAATTTCTTTCATTAATTACTATATATTTTTTACACTCATAATGTTTGTCAGCTCGCTATATAATCAACTTGATAATGTTAAATCCATCATGCAATGCATTTCCTTCCAATTTTTTATGATAAACTAATAGATAATTGACTAAATAAACATCTTGCAAAGTTTCAATAAAAATTTCCAAGTTTTTCTTACAATTTCCGTGGTTTCCATGTAATTTTTATCGATATCGATATTATCCCGATATTTCCATCGATATTTCCGTGTTTTCGGACTACCGATATTTCCGATATTACCGATATTTTCTTCCTTGCTCAAAACCATGTGCCACTTCCAACTCTTTCACATTCGGAGTATCAGATCATCACACCTCTATTACACCTTTTCGTTGCTTCTTCTTCCCTTAGCCCTTTCAGAGTTTCAACACAAAGGGTTCCATATTTAAGTTAAGTTTACAAACCTATATTTATATTATTGTAATTTATACAACAACAAAAAAATTTGTGTGGACCCGTACATGTGATCTAAGAACCAAATAATACTTGCATGTTAATTTTTTGAAGTAATTAAGTAATGTTGTATAATTATTCCCTAGGATAATTTAATTTGTTTAATGTTATTTATTATTTTATTAATATTAGGTTTTATTATCAAATTGGATTATTATTCATTAATATTAGGTATTTTTATTATCAAATTGGATTATTATTCATTAAATTGGATTATTCATTAAATTGGATTATTATTAAATTGGATTATTATCAAATTGGATTATTATTCATTAATATGTTTAATATTAGGATTATTTTATTATCAAATTGGATTATTATTCATTAATATTAGGTTTTATTATTCCATATTATTTTTATAATTACTTAAATTCTTACAATCATTTTCTTTACTTCTTATTTAATTCTTCTATAGAATAACTTTATTATTTAGGTTCTCTTATATAACCGTCATCACTACTATATTTTTTGGCCAAATAAATAATTGCCTAATTTCCATGAAAAATAAATATAGATACGTTTAAGATGTCTAGTGGAGTTACTAAACGTGATCCAGCTTGGGAACATAGAGACCCAATAAACGGAAACAAACATGGCACAATTTGCAAATATTGTGGTGGGGTAATGAAGAGTGGCGGAGTGACATGACTTAAGTACCATCTTAGTGGATTAGATCCAAGAAATAATGTCTAACAATGCGATAATGTCCCCCCAGAAGTGAAGGCATTCATCACCACATTATTAAAAAATAAAAAACACCAAAAGGAAAAGAAAACACATGGAATGGAAAATATTCGAGCTGGGCTACGAGGAGAAGTCATTGGCCAAGCGATTGACAGTGATGGTGATGACGATGAGAACGAATGTGATGATGACATAGGACCTGAAGAATGACGCAATTTCAAACAAGCATTACGTGCCTCCAAACAGTCAGCATGGGAAAGAGAACACCATCACAAAATTCCTAATAGAGCACAAGGTTCCGGGACAAGTGGTGGTGCACAAATGAGACGGGGAGCAAGTATTAGAAAATCACAACCAACACCACTAATAGCCCCAAGTTTATATAAGTCATCCAAAGCACGTCAAAAGAGTGTTTGGAGTTATGTCACTGGAGGTAATGTGAAGGAGGGAATGGGGCGTCTAATTAGCAAGTTCTTTATCTATGAAAATGTCCCTGCTGAGAAGGCATCATCATATCATTTCAAAAATATGGTATTGGGATGTCAACAAGCCGGTGTTGGAGTACAACCTCCCACTCCCTATGAGGTAAGAAACAAATATTTGGAAATGGAGTATAAAGACATTGGCGAGTATGTTAACAACTTGAGGTCAAAGTGGGAAACTAATGGTTGCACAATCATGTGTGACAGATGAACTGGCCCAACCAGATTGTCTATCATAAACTTCATGGTATACTCCAAGGGAAAGATAATTTGTTTGAAGTCCGTTGATGCTTCAGACCATAAAGAACTACAAGTATATATACAAATTATTGAAGGATGTAATCATGGAGGTGGGAGAGCATAATGTTGTCCAAGTTGTGACTGACAACGGTTCTGCATTTGTCAAAGCTGAAAAAAAGTTATTGAAGCATCATAATGTGTTTTGGACATCATGTGCAGCACATTGTATTGATCTCATGTTTGAGGCAATGGGGAAGAGAGAGAATATTGCTAATGTCGTAAAAAGAGCTAGAACGATCACAAATTATATTTACAATCACGGTTGGTTGTTGGCCAAGATGCGTGAATTTTGCAAAGGAGAAATTATTTGTCTAGCTACCACTCGATTCGCCACCAACTATATTGCATTAGACAGCCTACTTAAGAAGAAAGCAAGGTTGAAGCAACTATTCACCAGTGATGATTGGGCCAACCACAATTTCAGCCGCTTAAATGCAGGTCGTATGGTGGAAAGTATAGTGCTTGATCATGCTTTTTGGACTCAATCAGAACATGTGTGCCAACTGTTTGAACATCTTTACAAAGTTTTACAAATCGTTGACACAGAAGTGTATCCTACTATGGGGGCAATATATGAGTTGATGCATGTAGTGAAGGAGGACTTGGAAAGAAAACATGGTGCAAGGTGGGTCATAAAGATAATTGATGACTGATGGTATAAAACATTATACCACGATTTGCATGCAGCATATATAAATTATGTCATAATTTACAATTCATTTTTTTAGTTGCATAAGTATTATTTCTCTTATTAGAGTATGTGTTTCTTTGAATAGTATATTATTTGAATCCTCGATACCAATATAGACCTGGTCTTGGAGATGATGGTACCCTTATACGTGTGGTACATAATGTATACTCTAAATTAGACCCTGCATCACTAGCAGTTGGTCCATTTGGAAATGAGGTACACAATTACTTAAATTATAATAATTACATTGTTGGATTAAACTAACACGATTTATTGAATTCAGCTAACATGGTTTAAAGATGCAAGAAGAACTTTTGGAGAACCAACATTAGTTGCTGCTCGAACAAAAATGTCTCCTAGTGAGTGTAAACATATTTCACTATCAGTTTATATAGAATTTGTTGGAGTTATTAGGCTTATCAACATTGTTTTTCATTCTAGCTAAATGGTGGATCATGTATGACACTGATGCACCAACTATGAGAAAGTTAGCAATCAAAGTATTATCACAAACAGCTTCTTCATCTGCTTTGTGAAAGAAATTGGAGTACATTTGCACTCATACACACAAAGCAAAGAAATAGGTTGGCTCATAGTAGGTTGGAAAAATTAGTTTATTGCTACTACAACATGAAGCTTCAAATTCGAGATAAGGAAGCAAAAATAGATCATGTCGACCGTGGTGACCCACTAGATGTGTTTGATATTGTTGTTGAAGATGATGATACAAAGGGTAACCAACTTTATCAATGGATTAGATCTCTTCATTTAGATGATGAAGGCAACCCAGCTCTAAGAGTTGCTGAAGAAGCACGTAATGAAAGGATAAGTGTAGAAAGAGTATTAGAGGAGGAGGTGGGATCTAGCAGCGTTGACTCTTTCGAAGAACTTTTGCGCCCAAGACCAAGAAACAC